CTGAATCCACGAAGTACTCAGATGGAACAACGTGAGATAATACTAACAAATACCTGCGACGTTGTTCGAGATTTACTCAGGATTATAATCCATAATCATCACTCAAAAAAAGATCAAGACTGCGACCGCGATTTCGATCAACGTCGCTGCGGAGATCGTGTATTTGCAGAAGGGCACATAAAGAAAAAAATATCCCTCACGAGTACCCTTTTGGGAGCCTCACACGTACTCGAGTCGTGAGTGAACATGATCGTGATGAACCGTCGCGAAGACCAACGGATGTCTTGAAAGACGGGAAAAAAGGAATGTAGAAGAGTGTTATTCGGAAAAGAATGAGACCCATAAAAAGAAGTAGCCGACGATTGCGCGTACTTGGTCAATATTGAGCATCTTGCAATGAAAGACCCATCGCCCCATCCTCAATAAACTGCTGATCACAAATGGGGGTCGTTATGTTCAACTGCATGGCGAAGAACCGTCTAATATTGATATTATTTGAAAACTCAGACACGACGGTTCTTTCGACGCATGGAAGCCATTAGGCCGCATCAAGCTGTACTGAATCGAAGTTCCGCAAATAATTCGGATTTTTTACATTGAAGGAGGGCGATTTCATTGAGAAAAACTCGAAGAAAATAAATTAATATTCCCATAGAAAACCGAAGAGAGCCAGCTCGCGAATTTCTTGGATCATCTAGACACGTTTTAGTCGATTCAAACTGATTTGGTTGCTTAGGATACTGCATGCTATAGCACGAGAAAACCAATTTATATTTCATATTAGTGTAAGAATTCAGAAGGGGAAATTCTGGTTAAAATATTTACGCGATTACTGGCTACGCGTTTTTATGATTAAAGCTCTAAAATTTTCTTGTGTGCAGCCGAAACTTCAAAATAGGTCAATAATGCAGTCTCGTTACTGCCGACTACGGTTATGGTACGATTTGTTGCAAGGAAATCGCAAGAACTTTCGATTTTTCCACTTTCGTCTTCTGTATTTTGAATGTAATAGATGAGTCAGAAGGTGATTGAGAATTGCCAAACCAATTACAATGAATATATGTATCACGTGCAAAAGCACGGTTTTTTATCATTCCCAGCATTTTAGATTGAAAATTTTTAGTTTTCGTGGTCAATGCAGTATTGTTTCCTCAGGGCACTGGCCAAATCCGAAGTGCGGCCCATAGTTGTTATGTGGCCTACAATTGTTCAAATACAACATTCATACCACGTCCTTTTCTTCCATTTTCTCAAGACAGCTTATGAGAGAAAATCATTATTCTTGGAAGAGTTTGGTAAAGACCACGTGCCTCATTTGGGACAAATGGAAGAAAGGCAGAATATGGCCAAGAAAGCGTTCATTTACTCCTACGGAAGCGTTTCATTTCCGGATGAAGCCCTCCACAATTCCCTCACCTGTTGGACTGATTGATCTCGCACGAGGTCTCCGGATAATTGTTTGGAAAGGGCGACTGACAGCGATATTGATATATACGGCAATGATAGAAACAAAAGACCTTTTGGCATAGAATCACGCAAAAGTTGCAAGTCACAAGTTTTCGACTCAATTTTCTCAGGGATTTTGAGGTCTCTGGAATGAAAAGGTTTTCTCCCAGCTTTCATATAGTAATTTGAAGAAATAAGAAGCCGCTCTTTTCGGAAAACTTTTATTGGCGAATGCTTTATAAAACCCACTCCTTCACCATTCACAGCTTCGCCACAAGCCCTTGAAAGAGTGGCGCTAAATCTGAAGAAAGTCGTGTTCTTTTTCTACTCGCGAATTTCCCTCCCCAGTCCCCAGTGACATTTTCAGTAACTGAAGGGCAGAATTTGTCTTCAAACCCGTTTTAGCGACCTATACGCATTACCAGGGAGACGAAGGCCGTTTTCTGCAAACCTGAAAACTGCGACTTCCTCACAAACTAGTGAGAGTGAATGCTCGGTTCGAGGAAAACACACTACAGTAGTCGGGAACTCGGAGCAAGAAGCCCATTGCTGTATGGCACGGGTGGCACTTCCGCATCAGATGTCCCGAATGTCGCAGCTTCATGAGGAAAATTCAATTTCTATAAGCATTGCGAGTCAGGAACCGGGATGCGGAAACAGCCGTCTGTCCCGAGTCTCGATGCGATAGCACCCGAATGCAACGCTGCTTAACGGGCCCTGTATATATAGCGACGTGCGAGGCTCCCATGGTGAGCCCATTGAGGTCTCCTGGAGTCCATGTCTCTTGCTCTTGTCTGTTTTCCCGGGAAAACCAAAGGATATGTCAGTGATCTTCCCTCAAGCTCTGTGGATCCCCGTATTTTGGGCATCCTCGTCACGAAAACATTGAAGGAAAAGGATCCGACCCTATGTATCATATTCACTGGAGTACAATGCGCACTTTTTCGAAAATAATAGAAAACAAGAGGATGCGCATCGTGGATGCGTATAACATTTTAAATGCTGTATAAAAAGTTCTAGCATATCATGAGCAGGGTTGTTAATTGTTAATATTTTTTAAAATTTCGATATAATGACTTACAAAATCTTTCAATTTTAGGTCTCTAAAAATGTAGTGCCCATCTTACCTATTACACTTCAATCCAAAATTCAGGCTGAAAAATCCAGATGCCTTCTTACACATTGGCATGGGGTACACAAGTAGATGCAGAGATACTCTTTTGTGAAAGTTGACAACAACCTGTGGAATGCAAATGATTCATGATTTCAGTCAACTGTGCCTCTGAAGAAAGCTGCAACGCGTGAAAAATAAATGAAACTAAAGCTTCCAAAAGAAAAAAAAAATCACGGGGAATTCCCAAAGGAATGGCGCACATTGAAATTGAAGAACAGCGTTGCAGATATTACGTCAGTTAATTCTGGCATAAAATCTCTGTCATTTCCGATTAACTGGGATCTTTCCAGAAGAAAGAATTCCGTCATCAAACAATTTAATGGACTTTTCTCTGCATTCAACTCCACCGTCCAACTGATCCCCGGTGTATCAAATCTTTTTCAAAAGTGCATGTTGAGGCTCTTCGGAATTTCTCCACAAAAATCCATCAGGGATTTTAGTGAAACTTATAGATTGAACCCCTGCATCTTGTCTCTTATTTTTGTATTTTAAAATTCAGTACATAAATCAAAATAGCCTTGTCAAACCATTTTCTTTTAAAGAGACCTTTTTCCATGCATATGAAGCAATAGTCTTCGCCTATCTTAATTTTTTACGACATTTGGAGCGTTCAGAAAATGTACATTCCCATTTCTTCAGGATTACTTTCCCGAAGAACTTCTTATAAAATAGAGCATAATTTTCTCCTACAATTTTAAGCATACGAAAAGTCGTGGAGATCTTCAGAGCTTGGTTTCTGTCGGGTTTCATTACATTCCTGAAATTGCCCAACATTTTCAATTTCCTGCTGAGAAAACTTGAAATGACCTAACCTCATTTCTTCAAAGTGTAACCCACAATGGCTCGTCCATGTTAGAAAACACGTATTTCCACGGAAATGCTACGATCGTGTGCTTTACCAAATGCCATTACCATGTAAAACTCTGGCGGAACAAATGCACGAACAGAAACTTTTCAGCACTTCCGCTATTATTGAAGCTATTAAAATAAAATTCACGAACTTTAAGAATACTTCACACTTCTGGGAGAAAATGGAATTGTTCGCGGGGATTAGTTTTTAGGGATGCGTGACTTCTTTGAGATGAACTGCGATGTACGAACAGTATCAACTTCCTTTACGGAAGACATACGAAAGACTAATAAAGAAACTTTTTGTCAGAACTGTTTTAGTTGAAATGCATGGAGGGGGGGGGGGTTGGCTCGCTTCATCGTATGTGGGAGAGAGTAAGTGAGGATCTGAGGAAGGAGTTTTGGTGCGAAGCAGAACATCGGTAAAATGTGCATTGAAACGTGCGGCCTTCCCGGGCGTTATTAAAAAGTGGGGTACGAAAAGGAAACCGGGAAAGCCATTTGGAAAACGTCACGGGGTGAGGATCAGGGAACCTCATGAAGGAACCCCGTCTCGTTTTTTTCTTGCTTTACTGGTCCTAGTCTTTTCCCCCCTCTTGATCCCGACCCCCGCCGCTAAGAAGTTTTTCGGGAATGAATTCATTCCGGCCCCGAATCACGTTCCCCTGACGTCGCACTCGGATAACACGGATACGGCATTCCAATAACTCCGTGATTCGAAATTTGACGACATATAGAGCCATTCGTAGCTACTCTGACCTACCACTGCGTCATGCCTTGGGGAACCAGGTGTGCCCAACAGCCGGTTCCAGTCGATTCCTTTCATCCGGATCACGTACAACGGTCACTCATGGACCCCATAGAAATCCATTTTGCAGAGAGAAAAAAAAAACATTCATCTGATTCCAGCTTTCTTCGTTTTTTCCTGCGAGTGAATTCGATTAAGATGAAAGTTACTCCCCCGAATCCCAGATGAGTGTGAATAACGGAGTTCATCGTCAACCACGACTACAGCAGAACATTTTTATGAGTTACTCAATTCACCGCGCATTTGATTCTCCGCGCTTTTAAGAAAGTTAGAGAAAATTTTCGAAATTTGTATAAACTGACTTTCGAATTTTCATGACTTTTTGTCAGTTATCCCCTGGACTCACATTATTTGACCCAAAGTCAGCACCTTCGAAGCGTAAGCCACTTTCTTGACGCAACGTTTTATTCCCATCTCGTGTCATATTGATTTAAACTTCTAATTCATGCACTTTTACGCATGAAATAAATAAAACATACAGTATACAGCGTTTTATCAGTCAATCCAGAATAATCAAATGCAGGAAATCGCGATGAATCTGTGCGAGTCACGGGATACTAAAATAATTTAGAAAGTTGAAGATGACAGCACCACAGCAGAGTAATATCAGCGATATCAGCAATGATAATTCCAAAACGATAAATTTTAATATTTTCTTGAATTTGAATCGCAATAAGACGAGGAATTTCTTGGCAAGAAAAATATAAATGTGAAGTTAAATTCGGTTAAAAGTTGGTATTGAGTTTGCATGCTTCAGTGTCACCATATATTTATTTTCCCCGCTGGTTATTTCGGCAAAGTACATTCTATGTTGCGGGTTAGACATATATGCTTACATAATTTGTTCAATTAATGGCACGTACTGTTAAAAGTAAATTAATTTACTCGTTGACGGAGACAATGCGTGCGCTTGGCAAAGCATGTGTGTTAAGAGTTAACCAGTAAAACCAACTCATATAATCAAAATTATCATTATAGCGAATTCTGGGGGCAATCCGAATTTTAAAAAAATTATTTTCTCACACTCCTTCAACGTTGAACTATCTGATGAGTCACGCTCCAATCACAAGAGCCACTTAGTATCAGATTTTATTGTTCACCAAGAAGCCTTTTTGCGGTGCAGAATTTCAAGTCCGCTGGCAACTTTTTGCCCGGAAGAAGTACTGTAATTTAATGCTTATTTAGCACATGATTTTGGGTGAACCGTGGCTCGCATTTTTTGTGGGAATTGTTCCTTTATTTCTTACCTCTCTTCGTTACACGGAGATTTTTTGGCATAAAAGAAGTATGCTGTAGTCCTTGAGTGACTTCTTTGGCGTACTGAGTCTTTCACAAATGTCGGTAACATGTTCTCGTTTGCGCCATGCAGAAGATCGGATGTTTGCACTGACGTCTGGGAACTGCCGTTTTCTTTTCTTTTTTAGAGCCCTATATTTTCTACCCTCGAAGTCGAATGAAAATTTACATTGCTCGGAGTAGGGAAACGGACCTTATGAAACACATCCGCTCCTTTTTCATTATCCTCGCCAAAGTGTTGACTTATGCAGATTATGCTTTTCTTCCCGTCATTCAACTTTTATTCCAGCTTATTTCCATGATGAAAGGCTAGCTGTGACCTGTGACTTGCTCGACAGCTATAGGTGCAGTTTTCCCCAAAAAAAATTTAAAGCGAAGAAATCTGTTTGCAATTAATTTTTAAAGAGAGGAATTCAATCTAGACTTCTTCCGATTCAAATTTGTGTGATGATGAATAAGAGATATCTCGAAATAAAGAACCGTTCCGGAGACATTAAAGGGAATTCATGCAAAGAAATGTGCGAATCAGTGAGATTTTCCGAGGAATGCTACTTGTACGATCCTTTTACAAGCAATAGAAGTTTCCGTTGCTGACAAAAAACTCTCCGGATTTCATGAAAAAGTGAATTTCATTCAGTAGACGTACGTATTTCTAATCTTATCCCCGAAAACTGAGAAAGGTAATAATTTCCCCCGAAAATTATCGTCCTTTTAAAAATAGGTAAAATAAATACCCGCAGTGTTATCAGTGCACTTTAATAAGATGAAAAGTTAATATTTCCTCTTATGAATAATTATTTTACTGGATTTCTGTTATTTATACTTGAAACTTTTTCTGTGGTCCTTATCGGAAAAGCATTGAAATCGAAATTTGACAAAACACAGACTATAGAAGTCTGGGACATTGCTATTCCATCCCATGATATGCGGTCTGTAAGATCGCCACCGGCTCAATGGCATAGAATTCATAGATATCACACATACGAGTCGTAAAGACGTGCATTGTAAGCACGTTCCCTTGCAGCGATTTGATTTTTTTCTTTGAGGAAAAACCGATAACAGAAAAATGCCACAAAAAGCTGAAACCTCGAACGACAAAAGGACAACATTCGACGGAATCTTCGACGTTCTCACGCGGATCCCAAGACATTTATGGCCGATGCATTCCCGACGTTGCTTCTCTCTTTCATTTTCTGTCAACGTTTTTGGTGATATCTGGGAAACAGGCGATGAAAAACCGGGCTCGGAATAAATAAATAAAAAAAAAGCCCCAAAGCTTCAGAGGTTTGTAGTATCGTCTACGTCATCTGCTGTGGCCTCAGTGTCGTCGTCGTCGTCATCGTCGTCGATGATCACTGGGTCAAGATGAGCAAATGATACGCGACGTACTCTCTTGCTCTCTGGTCCTTCGACTTCCTGCAATTGAAAAGTAAGTCAGGTCAGCAAGGAGTAAAACTCGTTCGTTGCCTTAAAAAGAAACAGTTGTACAGATGTACAGGACACGAAAATCCATCATTGTAAGATGAGCAAACTTAAAAACCGCTTTCCGAAGTGCAAGAAAAACATTCACAAAAATTCGCTTCCTATATACACATAGACAATAAGACAAGTTTTCCAAAAAAATATTTTCTGCCTATTTTTTTGCAACCATTTTTATTTGATATCGATCCTTTCGAAATTAAAATATAGTGTGAAACATTCACAAAAATTCGCTTCCTATATACACATAGACAATAAGACAAGTGTTCTAAAAATATATTTTCTGCCTATTTTTTTTGCAACCATTTTTATTTGATATCCTTTCGAAATTAAAATGATGTATATGAGCAGTTTCAGAAAACTGATTTTGACTCATTCTCCAACAAAAGTAAAATTCGATTAAAAAAAAAAATTCATAGTAGTTCAGCATTATTTGGAACCGCAAGCGATTTACGGTAGCATCCAGAAGGAATTTTCTCACCACGCATGATTTTATACAAATAGAACTGATGATTGAATAAAAGTTTTATTTACAACCCTTTCGAGCATACGTGAAAAATATGCTTCAGGAAATTATGCGTCATAGCTTATCTGGCCATCCTGTACTGAATTTTTATAGCACAAAGTTTTCGCTTTCTGGCGCTGCTCATATTTGAATTATAAAACATTTCAATCAAGAGTCGAGTCGATGAATGAAAAATATCCGAATCCAGACTATGTATCCTGCGTTGTTTGCCGCAAAAAAAATTAGGAAATACAGTTAGTCGTCAAGCAAATTTGAAGACTATTGATGCCCTGCAGCAATCGAGATTTTAATACTGTATTCCAAGAAATTTCTCATATTCGGAACGTGGTATACTCGTATGATCCTGGTTATGCAAACCTCTTCATCGAAACTGCTCGGCTCTCTGCAAAATTGTATACAGTATTCTTAAGCTGGTCAAACAGGACTGCTTGTATTCGTCATCAGCATTGTAGGGCTTGTTTTGAGTTGGGTGATCACTCCAGGGTAATTTCAACGTGCGCTTTTCAAGGCACCTGTCAAATTTATCTCTCGTGTCATTTTTTTATATCTTCATTCGAAAAAACGCGGCTAAAATCAAGTATTCTGCACACACACAAAAACTTCAGAATATGAGATACACATACGAGTATCCGTTGGCAAAAAAAAAGTCTTTTCATGGAGGATGAACCTTACCCAGGAGATAATTTAGCGCATGAGATTCAATGGCGTGACTTGTGACTCTATATGACGTACCTCATCCGATTCCTCCTTCCGCACGTCACGCGAAGTGTCATCCCCGTCACTTCCGTTATCGACATCATTCAGGACCGCCTGCTTCTCATCAAAGAATGAATCGGACGGAGTGGCAAGCTGCTTTTCCCTGTGTGCATCAGAAAAAAGACGTCGGATTAAGAGACTTCGCAATGACCACACTTCTAAGGTCAAGGATATGAGTCTGAAAATGAGTTCACCTCTTTTTTATTGGTTAATGGCAGTGTGAGTTCTCAAAATGAGAATTGGTTAATAACATATGCTTATTTTAAATTTCGACGTCTTTCGCAGTCAATTGTAATGTAATCCAGATAGAACGAACCTTTCCTTTTCATGTAAGTTAAATTGTTGTCCGTTTCAGAAGTAACCCCGAAAAAATAAGCTATACGCCGGTCGATAAAATATTTAACAAAGTTACATATTTTTGGATCAATTTCTGTCGTTCTAAACTAACTTATAGAATTTCCCCGCATTTTTAAAAGCGCTGCACCAGCTGTCGTTGAACTTTTGCGGACGGAAAACTAAAAATGCGGATTCTTATCGCGCATAAACTTATTTTTAGCCGTGAAGTTTGTCGCATTTTCCGCGGTTGCGGTTATCTACTCGCTGTTCATTTTTCAATTGATAGATTTATACCCCTGAAGTACGCTACAAATCTACAGGAATCTTAGAGAGAACGAGTTTCTTATCCTATATATCTGAAGTTTAAAAGACATAATGTTCAAGATGAAAAAATGTGTAAACGTTGTTAGCAAAATGAAATAAATCTCGATACACACCAAGATTAATCAGAGTTTCATTTTGCGTGAAGGCTTTCTGAACATGGTAATCTATGCATTAAATTCGGTGGCCTCAATTGAAATTTAAGATACTGGGGATTGTCCAGTACTTCAAGATAAAAAAAAAATTCAAGGACTCCCTGTTGTGCAATAAAAGTGGTAGAACCCCTTTTCTAAGTCCAGATTTTATACCAGACAGCATGAGCTTAAATAAATACCAAATAATTTGCACAGGAAACCAATTTTGACAAGAACTTTTCACAAGATCACATGAATGAAATGGCGATTGCTCCTGCATGCCGATTTTGACCGAGAAACCGGTAAATGATTATATGCACTAGCATTAGACATTAATGTAGTAGTGAGATGGGTGCCTCAGGCAGTATAGATCGCCTTCAATCCCTACCATCGATCTCATCGATTCTCGTTTAAATTCATCAACTTGATGTCTCATGCTCTGTGGGGGAGTCATTTTAGTCAACGTATCAATCCTTCCGCAGATTCACTGCCACAGTCTTGCACCAGACGTGCGCCAAATACTGGCAGGGCTTCCTGATGAGTAATTGGCTAGCGGCGGCGCCGCCACCGCATACTAATCAGGTTCACAGTCTGAAATGCATAATTCATGGCCTCGGAATCTCCGAGGATCATAGTGTGGGCTGATCTGGATCCAGAGCTAGAGATGCAATATCTATCCAAGCTAGTGTCGGGTGTAAAACGTCGGCGACTCACCCGTCGACTTGAGTAGTGGCGGCGGGGACAAGGTCGGAGGTGACGACATCAGTCAGTTCCCCGTCGAATCTGGAATAAGACGGACGCGACGCGGAATCTGAATTGGATTCTTATTCACAGACATGTTTGCGTGGTAAGGAAGTACACGCATGAAATTTGTATGAAGAAAAAGTACCCTTCGTTCGTGTTGTCGGCAGTTTTCTCCTCAAGAACTGTGTCCGATGCGCCAGCTTTGATCTTCAATGTGTCGCGATATGCCCTGAACGCTGACTTCGCCTTGAGGCGCCTATCACGATTGCAAACCAAATTTAAATTGAAGTGGAGATCCGGGGAAAAACGCCGGGAAAAATCTCGGGTGCGGCGATTAAAAATTTAAGAGTTTGCGAAGGTGTCGGCCGTTGTAATCTTGTGAAGTCTTGGGGCTTTTTGCAGACTCCATTTCGCGACACTCACTTATGCTGTCTGTAGAAGAAAACACCTCCTGCTATCAAAACGACCCCGAGAATCGCACCAAGAGCAATGGCTGCATTGGTGCTTCCAGTGCTGGCGCCGTCTTGGGAATCTGAGGCGACCAGTTTCCTCACACCAACCTCCACCTTATGACAGAAAACAGATCATGAGAAAAAAAAACAATCTCTAGCCTTCTTCAGCTAGAAAATCTCCAACCCAATCATTTAAATTTAACTCGCCTCCACAGACGTTCGAGCGGATGAGCCAATGAGTCTAGCTGTCACGACCAATGAATATCTTTCCGTGAGTTCCAAGTCTTTCTTTGCGATCGTCACACCAGTGTTGGAGTCGATTAAGAAGTATCCGGCATCTTGTGAGACATTTTAAAACACAACATCCTCTTACAATGAATTCATAAATTTATTTCTTGATTCCTTCGAAAATTTACTTATTTCCAGGCATTGCGGGGGTTTCGGAAGCAATTGAGGCCGAAGGGCCGCATTGAACCTTTGAATGTTGGGACAGCTGAGCATTGGAAGCTATTGACTTCCGAAATGTGTGCGCAAAAAAATGGGTGAGGAAATTGTCAGAGTTAAATTCTCCCTTTAGTTATTTTAGATTTATTGGAACGATCATTTTACTCGAATAGACAATAATGGGAAGAAAATAATGAAATATTGAAGATGCACTCACCAAGTTCTTCTGGAAACATTTTAGCACACAGATTTCATACGCTATAAGTTCTCTGTGAATTAATTTTTTTTAATCTCTGATGTTCAAGTGTCCAATGCTCAATTGGTTGGCATTCAGTTGTCCCTGCAATTGGCATCTTTATTGCATTCTCACCTTCTTCTAAGGAGTAAACTATCTGTGAAGGCAAATTCGTCTTCGCTTCCACTTTGAACACAGGTTGCCCCGTTGGGACTGGATACACGTTGAACTTATACGACTGTTGCGTGAACTCCAAGGCAGTGTTCTGTTGAAACGAGGAATTTTATCACGTTGCAATGTAAATTGATCCAAACGCTTCAAATTTCCATTATTCTTTGAATAAGCTGCATATATTCCTAACAAATAATTAGCAATGATTACCGAAGGTGAAGTGGATGTGATGGTTGACTCCGTATGTGGACTCTGTGCAAAGAAAATGAATAAAATGTATTTTTATAAGAAGACAGCCAAGGGTTAAAGAAAAATTTCTCAAGATCATCAATGCGGATTTCCGGTGGATTACATGACTCTTGTTTTATCAATTAACCTGAAAACACTGGAAGTATAAATTTCTTGAAACTCCACCTGAATATCACACCTCTCATTTATTTTTTACATTGCATTAAATGAACGGGATGATTTCTTCCGTGACTTCGCTCTATACTGAGAAATCCCATGGGATTAAAAAAAAAAGTAAATTTCGTATTTTAGGGAAACAATTTTACGATTTTGGTACGCATTTCATGCTAATTGGATCAAGATATTTTTACAAATGTTCGTTGATCAAACCTTCGAAGAACGGGAAATCCGCGGAAAATATTTGAGGACCAGTGATAATTACCTCGGGCAAAGTAGTTGGAATGGTTCCCTCCGTGAGTTGACTCTGTTTGAAAATGAAAAGTAATGAACCTCGGCAATAAAAGTATCATAGATCATTGACTCATGGTTTCTGATTTCGAAACACTGAAAATTATACTACTGTATAACCAGAAGCAGACCTTACAGAACAACGCCTGATGAATTTAGTTGTTGTTCAGCTGATCTTGAAAACATCCAGACCTGTCCATCAAATTAAAGCCCGCAGCTATTTAATTTTATGCAAGATTTGTAAGGATATGATAGCTTAGACGAGCACGTTTCAAAGTATTCTGAAGCTTATTGCTCACAAAGCACTTCGTCGTCCATCATAAAATAAGTACCCAATTTTGAAATTTGAAAAGCATCCACAATGGTTTCTTTCTTCTGAAATTATTCCTGGCAGCATTTAATTGTATGCAAGACTGAATCATGCTCTTCTAATTTTCAGCCCTCCAAACTTCAGAAAAGTTTATACTGAGAAATACTAACACTGCAATTTCCTTCAAAACACGCATTCCACATACTCTATTGTACAGAACTAACTACTGTATTATACGAAATTTGGAATGCTGCATTTGCACAGATGCAACTAAGAGGAATAAGTCTTTGTCACCAGCATAGTGGAATAACCGTGCGTGAGGAAAAACGAACAAATTATTTTGCAGAATAAGACTGCATATACACCTTTTGGGAGCGTTTTTCTGAATCGCACTCATATACCTGAAATCTAAACAGTATTTCCACAGATATGAGCATAAATGCTCTCTCTGTTTGCACGTCCTATGAGCGAAGCACAGTAAAGTACATCGCGCTTCTTAAAGTTTTTAACCAAATATATTACTGTATATGCGGGTTATGTATTAGACCAAGTATGAAACCAAATTTTCAAGCATTGACCAAATAATTACCAAAGGCTTTGTGGACGTCGTTTTCGTCGCAGTGGAATCACTCGGTGCGACGAAAACGGCCCAATTTTTATTCAGAGTTGATTATTTACAAGTTTTATTTTTTTCTGAATGCTGCTCAGCCGGAGTACAATTTAAAAAATATATCGGACGATATGAAAACATAGGTTATTGTTACTCGTCATATCTTCATTTAGGGAGAAGCAGCAATTTCGCGTATTTCTTGACGTTCATAACCAAATATTTGCACATACAATAATGCTCCAGTGATGAATGCATCTAAGAATTAGTTCCTATAGAAGTTCGAAATTTTTGCACGAAAAATAATCACCGAGCTCGAAGTTGCAGTCATGGTTACATCAATGGTTTGTGCGGTGGATTGAATAGTGACAGTAGTGAAATTCATCGCCTCTGCAATTATTGTGATGACGAGAACTGCAGTTCCCTTGAGAATTGGATTGGCTTCTGGAACAGCCTGACATGATGCGTGGTTAGTTTTTAAAGACGCACGTTACCTGTCATTGAAAACCAATACCTCCACGAGGAACACGAGCTGATTTTCTAGCTTAGATGTCGCCTGAACCAAATCTTCGAATGACGTTCCAGTGAATTTCACCTTTCCGTCATTTTCTTCGATCTTGAAAAATTGGTTCAAGACATCTGGAAAAAAAATGCTGGATCTTTCGTGGCTTTTTAAAACACTAAAGAACGAATTAAATGTTAAAATAATTTAATGTACGTCCAGATTCAATTTCAAACTCCTTTTCACTATTCACTTCATGCAGTTCTCGCTCGAGTGAAATTAACTTTAAAAATTTTTGACGTCATTGAAAAAAATTCTGTGATTGGAAAAATTTGCCAGCTACTTTTTTAGTTTTGCACTTTGAGTTTTCAGTTTTCTCTGTTTGGTTCAAAGCATGCTGTGATTTGTGATGGAAATAGGTTTCGTAAATTTTAGAACTATGACTGAATATACGAACAAACGTTTTTTTTAATCCGCCATGACGAAAACGCAATTTCCATGTCTATCTGATAACCGAAAATTCCTCTTAGCACCTCTCAGTCGTATTTTGTTAAATATCGTATTACACACATTATGTTAAAAACTTTGTTATGTTTTGCGATGCTGTGTCAAGGAAGCACAAATAAATCGCACTATATTTAACATACCTTCACTCGCGATTCCTCTATATTTCACAGCCCCGTGTTCTGCGGCGACATTTTGAATTTGCATCTCTTCTTCCGTTGGTACGAGGTGGTCATCTGTGGATAACTACACAAGCTTCCATCAGCAGCAATGAAACAATTCAATGGTGATTTAGAACTCACACTGGGATCATCGACAATTAGGGAATACATGAGTCTGCTGAACGACAGGGGCTCGTTAAACATGTCAGCCACATTTAATACGAGGTCAGTAACAGCCGTTTGAGGAATCCCGTCAGGATCATCCTGCATCAAGATCAAAAAGGCATTGAAATCCCTCATATTGTTTTACGGGATCAATATACCCACCGGTGTACTCGGATTTTCGGCTGTAATCTGGCATGAAAATTGTTTGATCTGATCGAAGTTGAGAGCTTTCCTCAATTTCAGAACAACTTCATTGCCTGATCCTTCTGGTGTTGATTCGATGTAGAAGAATTCTTCTGTAAAAGCCGCGTTTTCGCCGGAAAACCGAAAAGCAGCTTTGCTGTTTTCAGGGGTGTCGGCATCCGTTGTGCTGATAACAGATCCAAACGCACTTAAATCCACATTTAGCGGAAAGGTTTCAGGTACGTTGAATGTGTAATCCTTTGCAGAAAACACCGGTGGGTTTGTATTCGAGTCCATTAACTGGATTCTTAAATCTGTTAGGTTTCCCCCTTGTGATCCCTGTCGAGTAATTTTTTTTTCAGTCATCCAAAGTGCTGCGACGTCTCTCGAAATCTCAATTACTCACATCCGACGTTGTGCAAAACATTTTGAAATTGACGTATGCCTATAATAAGATTGACACAGACATGGAAAATGAAACATCAACCCACAATCAATTCAAGCACATTTCTACTACGTTTGAGCTAGCGTCGGTGTCCACTAAACTGTTTTTTAGCGTCACATTTCCTGTTTGCTCCGAAACATCGAATGTCACAGTGAAGTCTTCTAAAGACAAGCCACCCGGAATAACTTCAGTTGCTTCGACAGCTTCCGCATCAGCAGTACTGAAGGAAAAGACAACTTTCCCTGTCGGTGTCAATTGGAAAACTTCCCAGTAATAAGGCGTGGCGAGATTGATACTGCAAGTAGATGCCTTGACCTCTATGAACATTGCTAAATTTCGTGAACTATTCTGATCAAGAAATTTTGTTTTTTACCTTCAATGGCATGCGATGGACGGATGACTGCGACAAAAATAGATCCACACGTGAGCAACAGACGCCAAGAAATCATGATATGTTGAGTTTCACTTCGCTTTGAAATAATACCCAGAGGAGTTTAGTAAGTACAGTACAGTACTTGCAGTTCCTTGTTCACCTTGAGAAAAAATTGAGACATAAATCTGACACTATATACGATTACTGCGAGAACTCATGATATTCCAGAAACATGGAACACGCAAACTGATATCATCAGAAACAGGGAGTTCATCTACTCGTTATCTCAGTAAAGCTTCTATTATCTACGCTCGAATTCTTTAATTTCTGGTCGACGAGATTCCGCAGTACAGAGCAACACGAAGAAATCTGAAGCAGGAATGTCGGCATAAGACTATCTGCAATTATATGCAAAAGTAAAATCAAGTCATTAGGAGTTGCTGAATGTATTCATCGAACTGTGCTGACAAAATATGAGTACGTCACTAGGTTCTTCGAAATGTTGTCGGATACAAGGCGGAGATTAAATGAAATTCTCGCTATCGATTCTTCCAACAAATAATTTCTGTAACCGTATATGAAGTGGAGACATTTTTTCGTATACACCTTCTTCATAATTCTTTAAATTCAAAAAAATGCAAATCTTTAGGAGTGATCGATTTTTGGATACGAACATAATCGTATTTGACACCTCCAATAATAATTTGTTCATCCATTCAATAAATGAGGGATTCTTTCGTCAATAAATGCAGTAAAAGCAGAAACTGAAAAAAGTCTTCGGACTGCACCTCGTCACCACAAACAAACTTTTTTCTGCATCAAATTCTGGAATTTTTTTAATATTTTGCAAGACACGATTTCGCCTGTGCTCCAATTGGCAATTCTGGTGATGATTCGCCCATATTGAATATATTTCGATTCTCCTCCTGCGCCCAATTTCTTGAAACTTTTTTTGCCCCGTAGGAAGTTCATCAGAGACAGAGACTGCAGTGTATCACGCACCTTTTTCAAATGTGCATCGAAGTAGAAGAATCGATTTATATGTAACCAATCTATTACTGTAATTCTGAGGCTCGTGGAAATCATTCATGAACACATTACAATAAGGTAATGGTCGATTTCTTCCCCTTCAGATAATCGATGCTATCAACCAGGTTTGAGTAACATTAAAAAATAAACAGTTCAACAGTTCCAACCTTGAAATTTATTTCGACAGCGTTATTTTTCTTAATTGCAGAAGAAATCATCAGGGGTTTTAGAAAACAAAAAGTGAATTCAAGTCACGATCTGCCGATTTTCGTGCAAATAAACATTAAGTGTAATTTGAACATGATTATAGTACAGTTCTACAGTATTTGAAGGTATGGAACTTGGGATAAATGATAGCAAGAAACTCGAAAAAAAATTCAGAAGAACGAAAAGGTGATTGCTATCTGGTGAAATCATGCTTGACCTATTATTTATTTGGCCTTGAAAAGAAACACAAGAAAAGCCGATTCGAATGATGAGCACAGTGTGACCTATGCTTGAATATCTCGAGAATAGCCCTGAATTTTCCTTGGGGGGGGGGCGTGTTCATAATCAATTTGCTTGTAAGCACCATAAAATCGTATTCATTGGGCTATTTTTTATTCATTAAAGAAATTATGATGCATCTCATTCTCGGGAAACCTTTCTTCATCAGTTATTTAACCATGAACTATATTGGTAGAGTTCATGAAATGTGCCTGCTTGAGCGTGTGCTTGTGATGTCCCAACGATGCGTCAGATACCGTGCTGGTGATCGAAACCCCGGAGAAGATTAGATAACGCCACCATGTAGATTTCGCAGCATAGCACGCAGTTCCCTGAAACTCAGACTTGTGTCATATCCAAAAAAAACTGACTGGGTTCAGAACACAGTTTCTGCCTCTTCTTTTCATGTTATCGGTGTTTCCGTGATTGCATTCAAGCATTATTGCTGAAACTCAACCATAAAATGATGTCATTTCATAACTTGTTTATGCATTGAATTTCATGTGATTGAATGTGAATGTTTTTTTCTTCTTCAAGAATTATCCGTTCATGAGAGTGAATACGTGATTTAAAGGCGAAGAATAAGTGGATAATTTGCAGTGATGATGGAGATATGAGATTTGGTCAGAGTTGTGATCATGAAATAATTTCGATGTGGTGATCAGATTCCAGGTTGGTTCTGCAAAAACGTTCGTGTAGCTCTGGGTTCCGACTATTGAAGCTTCCCAAAAACTGAAATGGGACGCGGAAGCGGTTGCATCCCTGCCGAAGGGACAACGATCCCAGTGAGATTTTAATTATTTTACAAATAAAAAAACTGAATTATACGACTGCATTAAATTTCGAAAAATGCGCAGGGAATTGGCGTCGAAATCAGCGGCAAGGCAATCGTGGCTTTGCTGACCTTGTCGGCCTTGGTTGCAATCGCCGGGGTCATCATGACATCCGTTGGGTTCGCGCAGTCGGGGAACTCGCCGGTGGAACACTATTCCGGAAAGCAAAATTTCTATACCAGACACATGGTAGGAGAAAGCAATGGTCTCACAGTCGCTGGGCCCATTCTGATCATCGTTGGAGGTTCAGTTCCTACGTTTCTTTTTCGAAAATAAAACTCACGAATTTATTCCCGCAAGTGCACACTATTCTGTATGAGACTCGAAAATGTTTCCAAGGGTTTGCTCAAATATTCTTAAAAATAGTCATTTCGAAAGCGAAAAAGAATTTGCCATGAGTTCTCATTCATTGCTTGAGGAAGACTGAATGAATGATTTGGAATTTTTACATGAAAGCATTTGCCGAAGAACAAATAATCAGTGTTGGGACAATTTTACTGTCTCGATGAGGTAGACAGGTACGAAATTTTTCGCCTCACAGGCGTCCAGAGATATTGATTTTTAAAGAAGCCTCTAGACTGGAACTATGAATTCTGCGGTTTAATTCATTTGACTAACTTGTCTTCGAAGTGAAGTGGCAATTTTCAGAACCCCTTCAGAAATATAAATAAAAAATGTAATGGTGCCCTATGCAACGCATATCATAACAAAGAAATCAAAAGACAAACTTGAGTACAGAATTTTAAAAAAATCGAACAACTAATTGCAGTACGACTTTAAAACGCAGTTCAACATCAAAAGCATCTGCATGGATTTGCACAGAACCATGTTCGGGTAATCTTTACACGGTTATTCAGTAGTCAGTACACTTACCTCAGGTAATACTTCGGATTTTGTTCTTTACTCTGAGATTTATGCTTAGTTTTTAAAAGCTACTAGCAGGCAGCAGTGGATTTCGCAAGAAACAATGAGTACATCTTCATTTTAGATGCTCGGCTCAAAATATTTGTAATGTGGAATACTATACGAGTATACGTGAATTCAAGAAAGAGCTGGATTTCCGTCGAAATATGAATTCATTTGATTCATGATAAAAATTTCATAAATTTGGCAGCAAACCTTGGAATTTATGCCATGTCAATTTCAATATTTCTGAATGCAAAGCTATTTCTGAAGGGGTGCACCAAGAAATCTGGGAGATGGACATAACATCTTCTGAGCCAAAAAAAAAAAGGCTTCTAGGGTAACTTTTGCAAAAAAAAGTATTAAAAAAATATGTCAAACGGGTCTGAATTTTTTTTTCTGTGCAAAGGAGAGTATTTTCTGTACGATATTTTTGTTAGCTCAATTGCATGCCATTTCAATTTTTATTCCGAGAACATTTGTTAGACCCCTCGTACATGTTGAATCCCGATGTGGTTCGCTACGAACGATAAGAAAAAGAAGATACGAGTATTCTTGAGTGACACAGGCTCATGGATGCAAATTTTTTTTATGATTGTGATGAATCCGTTTGAAGATTCAATCCACAATGTTCAACAGATAATTCAATTTTATCTGATAATGGCAACCAAAAGAACTTCAAATCGATTTTGAAGCGTGCAATTCGCACGTGTTTAATTCACATTCCTGGAATTAATCCGATTTGTTCGTCAACTGTTCTCCGCAGTTTTGTTCACCATTCTGTTCGGAGCTTTGTGGATGATGAACTGGGAGACTAGCAAGCGCATTTTCGAAGACCGTCACTACAATTACCAACCGCATGACATGGAAGAGTTGAAGCGAATGCGACCCGCACCAGAGGCCCATGAAACCTATGAAAAAGAGCCACGAAACGGCAGCGGGTCGCGGCAGACTGACGAGTTCTCAGATGACAGCACCCCTGACCAGGAGGACCCAAAAAAGGACAACCCAAGAAAAAGCACAGGGGTTTAAGCCTACCGTATTTCAAAATTGCATGGTCGGCCAATCACGCCTAAATAGTTTTACACCTCCATATCCTTTTGTATATCTGTCCTCAAGCGTCCCACGTCAGGCAGAGAAGCTTGTTGATTGAGCACATGCCACGAACATGTCACGTTTATGTAGATTTTCGGAAGTGTGGAAACTTCGACTTTTCTTTTCATCGCGCAAATGAGCGAACCAGGAGGTGCTTGAATATTTGTGTGACTTTGCATGTGGCTTACTCACTTCAATTATAAGGCGCGTTTTAGCAGTAACGTGGCTGAAAGCGCTTTTTTCAGGCACCATTTCCGAAATTAATTTATGATTTTGTTTTATAATCGCTTGTAGACAAAGTCGAAAAGTTGAAAAAGAACACCTTTATAAAAAAATATCTTGATTATTCAGAGGAACGAATGATCGTTCCACTTAGTTGCGGATTTGAAAAGGACCGGGTTTCCAGATGCTTAATGACTACTTCAGGTGAATGAAAAACAACAAGACAATCAACAGACGCCACGGTATGGAAAAGGGTCTTCATATGTTTGAGTAGTAGATCTAGAAAAAATCGGGGCTCTCGTATACGAATAAGTCCGTATTTCTAGAAGAACCCCCAAAAACATGGTTTTAGTGCGTTTCTGGAAAGGGCTCCGCTAGACAAAAGACAGGGAACCACGGTGGTAGGTAGATGATGACTTGGATTATTGAGACATTCGAATGACGAGTGACCGGCATGATACCCTTACAGTGGAGGGAAGTTTAATGAGTTTCGAACCAGCTTTGGTTACAAGTTCTTTATTAAAATCACCGCGTCAGTATAATACCACATGCTGAACTTTCATAGATTGGTGGTCCACTTCATGTGCAGATTACCAACAGCTCATACCGGCACATGGTGGAATCGAGAACACAACATATTTCAAAACTGAATCCTCAGTATGGCGAAAGGGTAGACTGACTGCAACGGGAAAACAACCCAAAAGCTCACATCAGAACGCATCCCTTGAAACATAATTTCTGGAACAGATCTCAGGCACCGTAGGCAGAGCACCCGAAAATGAATCAAACAAGTTTTAGATTCAAAATACTAGGTGTCGCTCTTAATCGATATCAATTTTCGAGGCCCATTGACTTTTCGAGATTGACCACTTCCATGGCTAGAAAGTTCTTTTTTCGCCATTAAATGAGCAGAGGTCAGGAAAACATCAATTTTCAAGTTTTTAATTCCAGTATTACTATTTATTTTACTAAGATGTAAGATTACACAACATTGTATTTCCTATTTTGGCTCATAATAGAGAGCTGAAGTATTACTCCTGAATGATTTGATTCTCTATGACGAACTCAACTCAGTCTCAAGTTTTCATCTTCCATCCAAATCTGCGAACATTCATTTTTTCTTTTAATTTTAAATAGATTATTGAACTTCAAGAATGATTTTGCGAAACTTTTTCGCGTGATCCACTTACATTCTTCTGCGATCTTGTTCAATGGAAACAACATGTAATAGTGCGTTTTTCTCTACTTGGATCCATTGGGCCTCGACATTTTCTCGAATTTTCGAACTTTTTTTGACACAGAACGATTTTTTTGTGCAAATCGGACTTGAAGATTACATTTGAAATTGAACTACCGCGCTTTTCCACAACACGCATATAAAGGCACAAGTTCCATTAGCCCAATCACAGCCACATCCACTCCGAATATCCGTCAGAAAAAAAAAGAGAGCGCTTTACGTATTCGTCAGCAAACGCAAGAAACTTCTTTTGATATTATTCTCAAAAATATATAAATATCGCCATTCCAAATTTGCTACTGATTCGTGAGATTGCATTCGTTAAATATGAACGAGGCCACATCGAAACTCTAGCTCTTTCGCGTAATCGTCTAAACCCATTCACCTCAATTTTTCGTCAAATTTTTTTGTCTTGTACTTCCCTCTGAAAGAGAACAGAAATTGTGTGGGTGAAGATATTTCGAGTTCCAAACACACTGCTTGAATATTTCCGAAGTCGTTTTCCTTCTTATTCGTTTAGACAACGAACCTGCGGATCTATCATAAAAAAACTTGCATATCTTCCTTCACCTGTAAAACGACTGAAGGTTGTAACTTGAAATACAAAATCCCCAAATGGGGAGTGTATGCTGCAGTAATTAGTCAATCCAGTGATGGATAATTTGCATTCTACTAAGACAACGCATCGCAAACTTTAAAAAAAAAAAAAATTCGCGACTCCGCACACACGCAATATTATGTTTTTCGTTTCCCAAAAATGCATTGCAAAAGTTTCAACCTCGCGTATTTCAAGAGGAGAGCATCAGGAAGCTTCGAATTAGCCCCCGTTATGCTCGATCGATTTAATGAACTAATTACGATTACGAGGATAATTTAGTGTCGCTGTATAGGGTCAAGCGTTAGTAGTGCCGAGGCGAAAGAGTGCATGTTTTGCGCGTGACACTTTCGTGTAGAAGTAGAACAGGGCAGTTTTCGCGTCACACCCGAATTATCCCCGGTGTTATTTGCTACAGCAGCTGATGCTGTTGTTGCTGCTCGTAGTAGTATCCAGGCTCAGCGCCGTCGATGCCGATAAACTGCGTGCCTGGTGGGGCCCGATAACCCGGAAACCCGGTCGGTAGTTTGTGGGCCTCAAAGAACGGCATGTAGTCCTTTGGTTGCTTCACTGGTCGAACGACATCTCGCGGCGGTTCTGACTTCTGTCGCGCCTGTTCTGGCGGCCATTTGTCGTCGCCGCGCCATTTGACGACGCGGAATGGCGTCGTGGCTCGCGGCACGGTTCGTATCACTTTCCCCGGCTCCTGTTGAAGTGGGATCTCGTGCCTCAAGGGCATCGTCACTGGCGCGCTAGCACCTTGCATCTAGATTGTGAAAAAAAGTTCAGATCAAAAAACTTAATTTGCTTATGTTTATCAAGTTGACAGGAACAACGTAGCCCGCAAAAATGCACTGGTTTTCGTGGCTTTTTTGGTATGCTAGCACATTTCAGTTTGACTGAATTACACTAAAATGGCAGCTCAGATGAGTGGCCGAAGTCCAAAAATCTCCAGATAATTCAAGATAGGAACATTTCTGCGTCACTGGCGCACTAGCACCCTTGCATCTAGATTGTGAATAAAAATGTCAGATCAACAAACTTGATTTGCTTCTGTTGATTTAAGTTGTCAGGAAAAAACGTATCCCGCGAAAAAGCACAGGTTTTCATGGCTTTTTTTGGTATGCTAGCACATTTCAGTTTGACTGAATTACACTAAAATGGCAGCTCAGATGAGTGGCCGAAGTCCGGAAATCTCCGAGGAATCCAAGAGAGGAAAAGTCTTATCTTGACCTTCCAGGTTCTATATGACTGAATGGGAAACAAAATTCAGCCAAGGGATAATCTTGGGTGGTACCAATTTTGGATTCATTATTTTGACCAATTTCACTGTCACCAATTTAAGCAGGATCTGAGGTGGGAGGGTCAGATAATGCAAATCAGGAAAAATGAAATTAAATGGTTGGTACTTTCACTGTGAAAAATGCAGTATTTGATTCCCTGTAAGCAGTTACTAATACGATCCTCTAAAAATTGTGCTAATGCTCGTGCGCAGCTTTCTCGAATTGTTTGGGCATTCACATTTCTGCCTTAAAGAATGCAACCTTTAGTCGGGATAGTTGCTCATATTAATTCTTAGTCGGATTTGAAAGATAGATGACCAATCAATTGTATGAGATCAAGTAGTAATAAAGAATGGTTCCGTTGGAAACCTTTCAATCCTGACTGTTTTTCAAAAATAAACCAATTCTTCCGAGTGAAAGAATGAGTAGGTCCGTGAGAACCAAGAAATTTCTTCGTAGAATGCATTCCCGATGTTACTGATTTTATATAAATGGCATTTATCTTTCGACTTCTCGACGCCAACATCTGTGTTCCATGTGTGCGACCTATAGGGACCTATATTCTCCTACTCGTCTAATACTCAACTAAAAATAAGGAAAATCCCGGGATGAGACCTAGAAAAAATACTTCATGTAAAATCATTGCTGTAGTCACAATCATGACAGTTGACCCGGAATGTTGCTGAAGGCAAGATACAGAAAATCATGGGCAAAAAAATTGTGATTATTGGCCTAATTTTAACTAATGACCTTGAAAATCCTCATGCATCCTCATACCACATATTTTCGTATTAAATACTCAGAAGACTAATAAAATAAGCTTGAAAATGATCTCAAACAAATGCAAACGCATCAAAGTAACCTGCTCACGATGTAATTACAAGATTTGGGCATTTCCATAATCTTCGAAGCACATATCTTCGCCGGACTTTTGGAAACATGGAAAAGAACCCATCACATTGCGCGGTGGCGGATTGATGATGAACTCCCGAACTCTTTTCTCCACGAAAAGCCCGAAAATTCCATGGAATTTCAATTTCAAGCTTTGCTGCGGACAACATTTGCAATCATGGATTTCTACCGTGAGAAAGTTGGTTAGGTTGAAACCAAATTCGAGAAATTAACGAACCTCATGCGCCAAGTCTGTGCTGATCAAACAAAGTGATACAGCTACGCTTTTCGGATTAAAACTCTAATGTTTCCTAATTATTAAGGTTGCATTCTTTCGGAATTCCTTTCCCCTGATTCAAGTGCATGAATCCCTCTAGCATTTTCCGGGAAATTTAGATGTTAGAAGTAAATTTTAATCAAAATTCTGAGGAGCTAGGCGTTTTTTTTTGCCTTTCATACAAAACGAGTCCTCGGGAATAAGAACCCTCATCGAGATCCCAGGAAAGGTTTTTTCGGATACCCAAGAAACTCGCATAATTTTCCTCAGAAGTACTTGAAGCTCTTCAAAATTCTCAAAATATAAGACAAGATCATGAACGACCACATAAAACCTTGATGTTTCCATCCTTCATCGGGAAAATATAGTGTCTCGTCAGCTTATCCTCTATCAAGTCAAGTGTCTTCGGCTAAAATCCGTAGAAAAGCACAGGCCCAGGCTACGAGTACACACGCGCTCTTTAACGAGGATTTAAACGTCTAGTTTTGATTTATGAAGCAAGGGAAGAACGCGACACTCGCACATTTTCCTACTCGTTTCGTCAACTGCGGATACTAGATTTCAAAGAATAATACACTGATGGATTTCGATGCATACCAGAAGCCAGAAAAACCCATCACAAAATGTGACACGACTGGCTAGACATTTCCGCGGAAATCACGGACACGTGAAACACCACTTTTCGAGTCCAGGAAGTGCCAAGTTTAAGGAAAACCCATGAACCAGGGAAGTCTTTTGTTTCACAGCGATTCGGTACTGAAACAGAACTCTCACTTGCGAAGTATGCCAACCCCAGCTCACCAAACGTGACTCAGAATTATCTCACTGAAAGCTGCGTTAAAAATGCCATTGCGGAGTCATCAGGAAGGAATGTCTTAGGTTCTTTCTGCGTTATTCTTATCCACTCTCGTCTTTCCCATATCTCAGCTTCCTAAATGAGCACCTTGACATTGTCATGATCACTTCAGATGGGATCAGGGGTGCAATCATGCAGGATAATTTTATCAATAGAAAACGGTACATGAAAAAAAATGGGTGGGGGTTCAGAAGAATCAGCTTGAAGTACGGGAACTGGAAAACCAGGGAGATGAATTCCCCGAAGCGGAAGAATGCCACGAGACCCACGCTCTGGTCTCCAACTAGCACGGAAATTCTTTTGCAACCTTTTTACTGCGAAACTGGGTTTGGCACGAGGCCGACGTGAATCTTTTGCGTCTCCCGTCTGTTGGAAGGCTGCTCTGTCTTATCCTGTCTCTGGGTAAGGAGTAAATTAAAACCGTCAACCGCAGGAATCTGTCTCCGTATCGTTAGTCACCAACTTTTCGAGAAAATTCGCATCTCGAGAATTTCTGATGCCCGCCAGGATTCAAGGATTCCATCGAATTTATGTTCAATACTAACGGTACGCGGAAAATTATTTTGTTCTACACCTGGAGTCATGAAAAAACTATTCAACACTTCTTTCACGAAGAATATCTCGAATTCTCTATCTTAGCTGCTGGCCACGTTAGGTGGAAATAAAATTCGGGCAGCATTCGAAACAAGAGTTTAAAATACTACAACCGGATACTAACAGCAGTTTTTTATGCTTACGATATATAGGTTTCATATACTAACGGGTCTGGTAATCGGAAGATTGTCCCAACCTGGAGTTGGACTGAAAATATGCTAATTTTCTTCCTTTTTTACGGGATAGCCATTTTTGGCGAAAAACATTCACAGTTTCCGCAATTTAGATTCAACTGAATTATAAGAACACTCAGCAATTTCCCCTTTTTTAATGTTGTCTCAAAATGAAAGTTAGCTATAATTTTCAAGTGGTTGAAATTTGCTCATACAGTATATCCGATCATGCCCACGTATTTATGAGAAGAAAATAAATTTAAAAATAAATTTCTGAACTATCTTGGTGCTTTAACATTTTTAAACGAAAAAATACCTGTTGTTGAAGGCAAATATTGTATTGTATATAGGCCCTCGAATTTGGCAGATAAAGATCTGAATTCAATAGGTAATACGGGCAAGAATATAATCTTTAGATCAAATCCCTGTGAGAAATAATGACAGAAGATAAAATGCATCAGTCCCATTATTTTGTTTTAAATACTGCACTGTAAGTACAGAATTAACAAATGAAAAAAATCAAAATTGGACCAAACCTGGTTCAGACACAATACTCTTCATTTCTTACCATTGTTTTTAAGCGTATATTCAAGGGTAAATCGATTTCCTGTAATTCCTTTGTATGAATTGATTTAAGTTTATTTTCATTCCTCGCTTCAATTTTTTATTGCATTAATTTTCTCTGCAACATCTCCTTCAATCCCTTTTGGGATTAAAAATATTTTTCGTTATAAGAAGAAAGTTGTTGTAGACGAGATCTTTGTAGGACTGTCAACCAGCAACGGATTTTCTCTACGGTGAACTATTTTTAAGCGCCCAGCACTTCTCCTCGGTTTTTTTTTCTTTTTTGCAAAGGTGTTTTCTCAGTACATCGAGTAATTTTCAGCTGGTAACCAAAATTACCCAAGTGAAAGAAAATCCCGCTACTCGCGTTCGCTCGAGAGGAAAACGTGCCACCTGACGCCGTTAGGTTGTGGGTATTTTTGCGCTATGACCAAACAACTCATTAGTCAGGTCGACACAATGTGAGGCGTCGCGGAAGCTAGACCCCGGTTACACGTTTGACTGCTGACACGCCGACCCGAAAATACACCCGGAATATATTTTTAGGGCCCGCAAGAGTAAATCTCGTACAAGTAGCTTAAATTCCTCTCAAGGACTGGTTTCAAAAATAAATCCTAGACATAATCGGTACCGCTTTGGAAAGATTAAAATGTTTCCAGAATTTTCGAGGAAAATTGACAATATTTGCAAACAATTCTTTCATTTCGTAGCCCATCATTAATCTGAGTTCGGCTGAATTTTTCTGATTTGCAGACTAACCACGATCCGCCAAGTTTCAGATTATTTTCCAAATGAAATTCTGCTCATATAACATGAATATTGATTTAGATTATAAACGCTGACTCATCTTGATTTTCCAATATGCAACTAGAAAAATGTTAATGACAGATATGGAAGGGACTGCCACTTTTTTTACGGTATTCCAAAAACCATATTGCACAGGAAGAACTAAGAAGTGGAGCCATTTCAAATAATATCCTCGAACACTTTACGTGTTGTGATGTCAATTTTCGAATAAAGGCATATTCCGTTTTTTTTTTTTTTTTGTGGAAAATTAATTTGTCGAACGTTATCGTATCCTCTTCCTTTTTAAAAAATAAGTCGGAGAAAAATGTGTCAAATTTGTCCCTTACCTTCGCACCAATTGTTTGAACTTATTCTAGGTGAAAGATATATTTTCTATCAGTTGATTTTACCTTGAACGTTCAAATTGAGGAATATACTCAGAAAAGAAGTAGGGTCGCACTATTTTGAATTGGAATCTAAGAGGCCATCGATTCGTCAATTCTTTTCTGATGAGTCGACATCGGAAAAAGTGCGTTTTTTTCTGAATATGGTTTATCTTCGCTCGAAATAAATTTAGAGTCTAAAATAATATGTAATTACCTGCTTCTCATGGTGCTGCGCAGATTCTTCAGAAGTCGGAGGCCATTGTACTTCCTTTGGCTCACCTGCAAGCAAATAATAAAGATGGAAAATACTTCTCAATTTAATTTTTTCTTCTACTCCATCAATTGAATACTGAAAAGTTGTGGAAAGCTATCGTGAATTATTGTGTACAGTCTCAGAGAGCGATTACTTTGAAGAATACTGCAGGAACGATTATTCAATTTTCCTCTAACCTTGAGTGTTTTGGTAGTGGAAAATTTGAGCTTCGGCGCTGGTGGGTTGCCAACTTTGCTGCTGCTGACGCATTGCAGAAACCGGTTGTTGCTGCTGTTGGAATTTGACGTGGTGCTGCTGCTGCTGTTGCGGGTATTGGACCTGTTGGGGCACCGGATGATATTGGGTCTGCTGATGAGGTTGATGAGGCAACTGCTGGTGAAGTTGGTGAGGCAACTGCGGGGGATGTGCTTGCTGCGAATGCTGTTCGTGCTGGTAGTGGGTTTGTTGCTGAATCGTCTGTGCTTGTTGGTACACAACTTGCCGCTGCTGCGGTTGCGGGTACTGGTGGAATTGGGCGCCGGTTGCCTGATTTCCGGAGTCCCAAGACGTGCCTCTGTCCATTTCCTGCACCGCCTTCAACACTTCACTCAACTCCGCCGAGCTAATGCTAACGTCCGGATCCCGTCTGTGCAAAACACAGAATACAATTTTTAAACCGCTGAAACTGCGTTTTCAGTTTCGAAAAAGACCCAATTGTTTCCTCGCGAGCCCTCGCCAAAAATAACCCCGCACATCCGCAACCGGAACCTCGCTTTTTTTTCGACCTAGAAACAGCACTCCAACTAGTTCATTGTAGATTAAAATCGATACGGTGGACTTGTTTACAACCGAAAGTAATTCTTGGTACCTTTCTAACTAAAAGTAGAGCGAAGGACGTCAAGATTCATGTCGCAGTCACACTATTCCACAGCTACTACCGATTTTTATTTATTCATAATGTGCCCATAATTTTCTCTGAACATGGGCTGCATAGAATAGAGATGGTCGATCATTCAAAGAAACTGTAAAGAAATGCATCGCCTGCAAAAAATCAGATGCGGGAAATATTCTGCCGCAGTTGAACGGATGCATGCCGTGGAATTTTGAAATGTTGATTTTCCGATCATTTGTTGTGATTGTTTCAGAATTCAACGTATTTTTGACCAAGCTCATAATGGAATCTAATAGGATGTAACATTTTTTATGAGTTCATCAACCTCATGCATAATGAAAATGTATCATAAACCACACATTTTTTCTGGAACTGATTCCTTTCTTGGTTTTTGCAAACTTTGATATGAAGCGCTTATATTTAAAACTAGTGCTGTAATTATTTAAATTCAAGATTGGGTGAAAGGAGAAAGGCAATCCATTGAAAAAATTGAGCATTATTAAAAATACGAACCAAGGCCTTTGCAAAATCAGGGTAAAATAATGTAAAATTATCAAACGGAAAACGACATTCCAAATAATCCACGCATCATCATTCGCAAAAACACAAACTCTGCATTTACTTCCGACGCTATGCTTTTTTCCTGCCGGTTTTCCTTCTAAACTCTGACTAATCATGTTCTGACGTGCTTTTTAGAGGCTCGGGGTTATGCACTGTGTATTTGAATGGTCGATTAAAATTGTATTCCACGTCGGGAATGATTGATTGCGAACGTTCGTAAAATAAATAGATCTTCCCGCGATCATGACCATGAAATCTTGAAATACGTGAACTGAAAAAATTTGGGTCGGTTTCTAAATACACTGAGCACTGGTCGAACGCACGTGTCGACAAAAGATCGAACGAACTCTGGCCGGGTCTCGGGTTCGGACTTCGCGCCGTATTTTCGACTAGGTACGTTTCCTAACCCACTTCCTTGAACACCCAACGCGTCGTCACCTACAACCTAGCCAGATGCTTGCATGCACGCGTTCATAAAATCCGTGTCACTGACACGGAGGACTTCAAGGGGATCTAGGACTCAGGCCGTATTTTCTTTTTCCAGTTGCTCTTCCTTTCTTTCGTCGAGACGCAGCAAAATACATGAGGACGAAATCGTGCCGCGGAGGAAATTTCTGCGAGACGGGAAGTGTGGCGTGAGAAGAATTTCGGCGGAGGGACCGGAAGGGAAATCATTCCCTAGGTCCTCGTCTTCGAAGAAATATTCCCGCGTTGAACCGTTTTGCCGTCGGTAGTACATCTTCTTTTCGTCCTCACTTAAAATACCGTTGACGGCCTTTAAACGAGATCCTTCTTTAGCTCTTGTGGCTGCTTGGCTCGTGGAATAATTTTTCACTTGAAGGAAATATCTAGACATTCTAGACCCTGAGGGCCGCGAAAAAATGATTTGATGACTTGATTCGTTTCCCGATCTTTTCACGAATTTACTTGACCGAAATGGGTTTCCGAATGGATCAATGTGATGTTCTGATAAACAATATCTCTCATAAAATGTTCTTATTTTCTACAATAAGGCTCTATTGATTGGGTACATCGCCGAAATGTGAAAATAAGTGAATGTAGCCTTGAAAAAAAAGAACAACACAAAAAAGATTGAGCCTTTGCAGAATGAGTCACCGACTGGATTCAACTAGACGCGTCATGACTTCGCCATTCTTTTTATTTCATCACGTTTTGCATACTACTGTATTTACATTTTTATTTCAATAAATAACTGCAAATTTCGTAGAATAAACAAGTGGCCACTTTTTCCTTAACGATCATTTAAATGGCGTCATTGATGTGAGGATAGAGGTTTCCTACATGATGCAGAATTCACAAAATGATCTGCAGAAAAAGATGTTTATTTCGTGTGCAATGTAAGGTCCCATGAAATGGCACGCCTACACGAGACACAATTTGAAAAATATGAAGTGTCTGAATTTTAGAACTTCGCACACCAGATCAGTTCATTCCTAAAAAAAATCATGGGATCAACCTATCCAAGATTTTTATGCACGACATAACTGTACAGCGCACTGTACTTCACTGAGAGATTAATTTCTGAGGATCACTTATTTTTCCGGCATGAAGCACCTCTTCATAAGCGATTTCGTGAGTTCGAAATTTTTCTTGCAGTTAGCTTGACCTTATTCTCCAAGTATCTCGGAATTTCAACACGACGGGGCAGAAAAGAAAGAGTGCGGAAAGAAGGCGAAATGAGGTTATCTTCGCACCTGGCCCAGTTCAGCGCGTCTCCGTATATAGCTGGAGCCACGGGGGCGCCGAGTTCCGCATGCCTGGGCGAAAGAGTTATGAAGCATTCCTTTTGGGCGCCGGGCGGCGACGCCGGAAATCACCCCAGGATGGAACAAGAAAGATAAACGAGGTCCTTCGAAGTTGTATAACTAAGTACGCCCGCCCTAACGACAAGGCAAAAAACCACGACCTCTCAAACCCATAATCCTCGCTTCGCTTCTTTGCTGCTTCACAGCTTTTTTTGAAACCCCTGCTCTCCATTTAGAATCATGAGACCCGCGTCGATGAAGGGCATCTCGAAAGCGCCAGACGACAGTGCCATGCAGCAGACGGTGGTTTTCTTTTTTTGTTTTTCGCAGACAGGCCAAGGTTCAATTTATTTTATTTTTCATCTTCTCGACATGATTGGCGCTTCCAGAAAGAGCGACGCGAATCCCCCGCACCCGCTTAGCATGTGTGGAGAAAATAACCTGGAGACCTCATTTTCCTTGTTCTTCAGCCCTGTTTTAAGTGACTGAAAATAATCCCGACTTTAGGAACAATACATTCACAAGACCGACACCAAGACGTTCGTTACACTAGGCGCTATTGTTCTGCACAGCCAGTCTCATAAACATGCGCTTAGGGATTTTTTCGGTTCAATTGAAAAATATATAAACAGCCCCAAAAACCCATTTCACACACGCTCAAGGACAGTACCATGCATTTGTGCGTGGAATTTATCGTACCTCCTCCATGTTTTTTCGAAGTTTTTTTTTTTCGAAGTGTCCAGCATATATGACATTCTGTAAATCTCTATATTTTTGGAAGCATTTTTTTGCGCTTTGAGAGAGATCGTCTGGGAATAAGGGAACGCAGCGAAGTGCAGTAAAAACAGCTTATCATTAATCCAGTGTCTTAAATTTGAAACTTCAATTTATGAGCTCATTGTGATATTTTTGTGTTCTGAACATGTTGAAAATGTGAAATAAATTTAAATTGGGCTTCGAAACAGTCATAGCCAGTCTACCTCAAAACTTAAAAATAGAAAGCGCAATATTCTTCTGCATCAATGACTGAACTGGGCACACTTTTTTTAAACCCCTGTCTTCGCAACAAAATTTGAAGATAATATAAAACTTCTATACGAATCAAGATATTCCAGATTTAATTCTGAATCCGGGAACTTCATGGGACTGTAGCGATACGCGTTTTCATTCATGTTATCGTAGAATCTGGATAACAATACTGTACTGGACTGTATTTGAAAGAGATTGTTTCATGTTGTAAGCTTGATTGATTCAAATATGGCCACTCGAAGATTAAAATGAATATCATAAAAAGGCTAAATAGAATTTACTAGCTCTATAGGCGTATATAATTGAGCGATTCCTTTTCTGATAACGCGAAGCTTTTTTCGCAAGCAGAAACATGTTGTAGCTGAAGATGTTCAGAAATAGGCCAACGTGGAACATGACCGGGGAGCGAAAAAATGTCACTGCGACACGATGAAAGAGGACCATTGAGTTCATTTTCCGAAGCTCCCGGAAACTGCGACAAACCAGATCTTTTGGCATCAACACGACAAGATTGGTGTTCTTCATTAAGGGACTATATGCCTATAAACGAAATTTCCATCAACAATCTCCGTCTGCCAAATCCTAGGCCATTTCCTGGATATGAGCTCAGCAACGAGATCCCAGGATTAATATATACTAAAGCTAGACGTATACATGTATATAGCGAGCCTTAGCGCTCATCTTTGCATTCACATTGCAACTTTTGAAGCAAGGGCATTCCGCAAATTTATTGTTGAGTCTTGCGTTTCTCAAAAAAATTTCAAAACTTTTTGCATCAAAAAACGATCGTGTTTACTATCCATGAAACTTTCAGTATCAAATACACAAATACCAATTTATGAATGAATATTTAGCATGTATAGTTAGTTACATTTCATACTTATTTCGCGAATTGTAATCCACAGTTTCGGATCTCTCAAAACACGACGGGAAGAATTAGGCGTAGACGTGCTGTTCTCTGACTATACGTATCAGATGTCTCAATTATTGGATGCTCGAGTATATTCCTGAATAATATTGAAAGTGTTATCTTCTGAATTTTGGAAGTGCCCGCTGAATCGACATAGGCTTTCGGGAAATTTTAAAATACCAGCAGGTGTTTGCTTAAAATCCACAATTTAAATCTGCTTTACCTCTTGTACTAGGCAGTCCGAATTAATTTTCCGCTCTTTTAGAATGCACGTTGTGAGTACTATGACTCAGAAATATTTGTTCTCCAAGCAATTGGCAGTACGTTCAGAATCGTCACTAAGAACCCAAAGTATTTTCTTTCTATCCGCTGGGTACACAATAGAAAAAGCTCATGCGAAGGATATGATGTCACCTTGCACAGATGCGAACATGCTCCGCAGTGTTTATCTCCAAAAACGTTTGCGAGCCAAGTACTCAGTCGTCTAAAATTTCATCAGCTGTGTGA